GGGAACAAAGGGTAGGAATCAATGGTAAATTCTCAGAATGGAGAGGGGTAACTAGTGGTGTTCCCCAAGGGTCAGTCCTAGGACCAATCCTATTCAACTTATTCATAAATGATCTGGAGAAAGGGGTAAACAGTGAGGTGGCAAAGTTTGCAGACGATACTAAACTGCTCAAGATAGTTAGGACCAAAGCAGACTGTGACGAACTTCAAAAAGATCTCACAAAACTAAGTGATTGGGCAACAAAATGGCAAATGAAATTTAATGTGGATAAATGTAAAGTAATGCACATTGGGAAAAATAACCCCAACTATACATACAATATGATGGGGGCTAATTTAGCTACAAGAAGTCAGGAAAACGATCTTGGCGTCATCGTGGATAGTTCTCTGAAGACGTCCACGCAGTGTGCAGAGGCGATCAAAAAAGCAAACAGGATGTTAGGAATCATTAAAAAGGGGATAGAGAATAAGACGGAGAGTATCTTACTGCCCTTATATAAATTGATGGTACGCCCACATCTCAAAAAAGATATACTGGCATTAGAAAAGGTTCAGAGAAGGGCAACTAAAATGATTAGGGGGTTGGAACGGGTCCCATATGAAGAGAGATTAAAGAGGCTGGGACTTTTCAGCTTGGAAAAGAGGAGACTAAGGGGGGATATGATAGAGGTCTATAAAATCATGACTGGTGTGGAGAAAGTAAATAAGGAAAAGTTATTTACTTGTTCCCATAATACAAGAACTAGGGGCCACCAAATGAAATTAATGGGCAGCAGGTTTAAAACAAATAAAAGGAAGTTCTTCTTCACACAGCGCACAGTCAACTTGTGGAACTCCTTGCCTGAGGAGGTTGTGAAGGCTAGGACTATAACAGCGTTTAAAAGAGAACTGGATAAATTCATGGAGGTTAAGTCCATTAATGGCTGTTAGCCAGGACGGGTAAGGAATGGTGTCCCTCGCCTCTGTTTGTCAGAGGGTGGAGATGGATGGCAGGAGAGAGATCACTTGATCATTACCTGTTAGGTTCACTCCCTCTGGGCACCTGGCATTGGCCACTGTCGGAAGACAGGATACTGGGCTGGATGGACCTTTGGTCTGACCCAGTCTGGCCGTTCTTATGCCGTCACTGCCTGGTGTCTGTTCAGTGGCCTGTGAGCAGTGAGTTCAGGCTTCTCAGACCATTTTTTAGGCACTCACAGCACCGCTGGGACTTCCTGGGTTCCTTATTGGCAGTCTCAGGAGAGAGACCGAGGACTGAACAGGACACAGAGACTATAACAGGGTTCAAAAAAGAACTAGATGTGTTCATGGAGGATAGGTCCATCAATGGCTATCAGCCAGAATGGGCAGGGATGGTGTCAGAAGCTGGAATGGGTGGCGGGATGGATCACTTGATGATTCCCTGTTCTGTTCATTCCCTCTGGGGCACCTGTCATTGGCCACTGTCAGAAGACAGGATACTGGGCTGGATGGACCATTGATCTGACCCAGGGTGGCCATTCTTATGTTCTTAACACCCCTAACAAGGGATCTTTGCAGCATGGCTGAGGCATATTGGTGGGGGTGGCATATGGGGGGAGCTTGCCCTGCTGCCCCCCAGGCTGTGCCCTCCAATCTCTAGGGATGCCAAACTGGCAACTTTCTGCAGGGCTAAACTGACACTGAAAGCTAGAGAGACAGTGCCTGGGGAGTGAACAGGAAGCAGGCTGCCCCGGTGCCACCCCCTGGCATTGGAGCCCGGCACAGGAGGTGCAACTGTTAGCACCCAGCCCCCTTCCCAAAATAAAGCCAGAGGCCTCTGCCCTTCCTCTTGCTTTTCTGCAGCACTGCAGCTGTGCTAAAGTAGGTTAGGAGGGAGGCAGCCGAGAGTGAGAGCTCCATAAATCACCACCCAGCTCTCCCGGCAGCTGACACTGCAGTTTCCTCGCTGAGAGCCAGGCTGGCCAACTCCCGCACGCACAGGCCTGCTGGGGAGAGCAGAGGGAAAGAATTAGAGCAGCATCCCCAAAGGGGCGGGGAAGTGGGTCTCAGCCAAGTCCCGTGCCTTCTCCGCTTTCCCCTTCCCCACTCGCCACTTCTGCAGACCAGGTGAGGGTGATAACAAGCTGGTGCAGCTCCAAAGGAGGGCTCCTAAAGCCTTGTGTGAACTGAACACAAAGAATGGCTCTGCCTGGCACTAGTATGCAGCCC